CCCCAAAACCCCAAAACCCCATGAAAAGTATTAATGGATCAGATTTAGAATCAAAAATATTAACTAGAAAATAATAATAACTTTGAAATAGTTTAATTATACTTAATTAATTTTCGGGTTTGGAATATCAAATGTTTCTTCTTAGTATCCCAACTTTTTCCTTCATCATTTTCAAAGTGAATTCAGCTTCCTTATTGGCTTCTTTTGCACCCTAATCCAGCACATCTAGTAAGTAATCTTCTTATTTAGCACATAGGTTCAAAGCTTATTCACCTATAGGACATATTTTATCAATAAGTTTGTTGCTTAACTTCTCCTTAAAACTAAACATATTGTCGTCTTCAAAGAGTTTATCTATTTATTTAACATCTTTTCCTTCAATTGCAGCATAAATATGCAATAAATTGAATAGTTCAGGCCTTGCTGGATCATATTTTATCTATTAAAGATTAAAAATAAGCACTTATGATGCAATATTTTAGACTTACCCTCCCTAAAGAGTCAGTTTTAGCTCTGCTTATCTTTATTCTAATTATCTCTGGGTCATCAATCAGATTAATGCAAGATCTTTTTTGTGGGTCACTTTTGCTCATTTTCTTTGAAGCATCTACAAGACTCATTACTCTATTATAAACCCAAGGACTTTCCTTATAGCTAAGTTTATCAGGTACAGGAAATAACTAGTCTTCAGCAAATAGCTTATTAAATCTCTCAGCTATATCTTTAGCTAACTCTAAATGCTAGGTCTAATCTTCTCCTACTGGGACAAAATTTGCCCTGTATGCTAAAATATCTGCGGCCATTAGTACTGGATAAGAATACAGTGAAAGACTGGTTTGTTTATCACTCTTAGAACCCTTTTTCTCCTTATACTATATCATTTTATTAAGCCAGCTTTAAGGGGTTAGACATGATAAAAACCACATCATTTCAGTATGAGCTTAGACGTGAGATTAAACAAAGAGAGTACTCTTTTTAGGGTCAATTCCACATGCTAATAAAGTTGCAGCTGTTTTAAGAGTAAGCTCCTAGGGAGAATCTGCCTTTTACTCTTATTCTTCTGCCTCTCCTCCATCGTCTTTCAAACCAACATATTTTTGAGTTAAAGAATGATAATCTACAACTGAGTAGTATCTTTTCTAGATTTCTGTTTGATTTTAGAGTTAAACCCAGTTCTATACAGCTCCGAGATAATTTCCAAGATGAATAAATCCAGATGGTTAAATGCCAGATAATACAACGTTCTGAGCTATTTTTCTCATTAAATTTTACGGCTATAAATTAATAATTTACTAAATTTTTATTGAATATAATGAAATTAATTTATGATTAATTAGTCTAACTACACTTTCTAAATTATTGCCTCTTTTTCAAAACTTAATCACTCTGATTCTTATTTATCATTATTTTCATTTTTATTCTCCTCCAAAGATTTTCTCTTTCTTTCAGGTATCGCTGCCAACAGTGCCTCTTTCCAATTTCCATCCTTTTCATAGTATTGAGCTATAATTTCAAAAACGTGATTTACAGTAAGGACTGCGGAATGAGATAGCTAAATATTTTCCCTAATGGGAAGTCTCGCATGCTTAATTCCCTACTCAGTTGCTTTTTTATAAGTTAGTAGTTTGTATCTATTATGATCAACTATACCACCTACTATATATGTCATATTCTTATCAAGCTTATCAATTAGATTCTCACTATCAGCTGTCAGATATACTAATTTGCTTTTATCTTCTACTATGTCGAAATATTTGTCCTAATATTTAATGTCAACAGCCCATTGCTAGCAATTACTCTTGTTGATCATGCTCTTTAATTTTTCTTCTACACCACTTAGCATTATATTTAAAGGGTGTTATATTCTTTTATTTACTGAGTGGCAGTATGCTAATTACTAAGATAAAGACTTAAGTTCTCTATCATTCATTAATGACTCAAACTCACAATCAATAATATACTTTGGTCCTTACTTGCACAATTCCTTAAATAATGCCTACTTTTCCTTTTTAGAAGTCTTTTTCTGTTCATCTTCTTTCTTTTCCTCATTACTTGCAGCATCCCCATTAGCATCTCCTTTAAGTTGATTATAATTATTAAACCTCTCTAAATGAGCATATGTCGCTTTCGATTTCTTTTTTTTATCCTTTGACTTTTCCTTATTCTGCTGCTACTTTTCTTACCACTTTTACTATTTAGCTTGCTTTTTCATCTACCTTTTAGAAAGTTTTACTTCCTCTTGATTATTTTCATTAATAGTCTATTCAACCTTATTTTCGCAAGTCAGTTATACCTCATCAGGATGATTGACTTAAATTTGATCAAGTTTCGCTTCCATTATTAATTAGATTAAAGATAATTAATTACTAAGCTAAAATTTAACTTTAATATTTTAATAAGCCTATTGTTTTAATATTGATTGATAATGTCAAAAAAGTATAATTAACGTAATTTTTAATTTGCATCATCTTGAGTATAACTTATTCACTTGCATAATGAATGATGATCTTGAAAATGAAATGGAATTTGTTGAGCCTAATATAGCGAATTCAGATGGACAGAGAAGTGACTATCGCTACGAAATGAATCTCTTTAGATGTGATTCAGAATCTACCCCATTTTATACAGCCAAAAACGTAAACATTCAACTTTATAAAAAACACTACGCAAGTATATTAATAATTTAAATAGACCTAAAAAGATGACAAGAGTTCTGTATACTAGAGTAATGTTAACTTTGATGACTAAAGAAACTTTAATGAGCAAGAAATAGAGGATTTTTTTGGTGTGGACTACTAGGAAATGTAGAGAATAGTTTAGGTGAGTCAAAAGTACTTGAATAATGTGAAACTTATAATGGATGAGGAGAAAGCAGTACCTTCTCCAGTAAAAATAGATGTAAATGATGCTTAGGAATTAGATCAGATCAATTATTTGGATTAGAAAGCTTATGAAGTTGAAGACTATCTTATAGAAAAACAGACATTTACTGATAGGCATTGAGGTGTAATGCAGAGTGGTCTAGTTAAAAATTAAGGACTAATGCCTAAAAGCCAATAAGAATCGAATTCTAATTCTCCAGAGTCTCATAATGTATCAAGTAGCTTAAATAATTCTTAATTCGGGCCTAAATAATTCAGTGTGAGAAAATAAGATTCACTTTCCTCCATCATCTCCTAGCCACTTTCCTAGTCCTCAGTAAAATGTAGTGGAATTAGCAATATTCCTTAAAGAAAGATTAGACTAAGAATATCTGATATAATTTTTAGAGAAGTCCATTATTAAGACCTTGAATATCTACTTTAATAAGGTGGAAATTTTAAACCTCCCTAATTTAGAGATCATCTTACTAATGAGGTAATTGAAGAAGCGGATGTTGAAGATTGGATTGAGACTTTGAGTAGGTAAAACAATGATAATTGCATTATTGACGGAGTAGCCTCTAGGAAAATTGTGGGGTTTACTTGCTTTTACAGATAAAATAATCGAATGTTATAAGAGAAAGAAGACTTTCAAAAGGTCCAGGAGACATTAGAACAATTATAAGGTAAAATAGCTTCTGCCAGAAGCGAAAGTATGTCAAGCTAATAAAAGCAGATGTAAATGGCAAAGAAATATGAGGAACAAGCTTTGATTGGAATGATACTTATGAAGTTTTAGAAACCTACCGATTCTGACTTTCCTGAAACCCTTAAACATCTCCCTGTGTTTTGGCCATTCAAAAAGTCATAACCGACAACATAAGACTAGACTCCATAGAGTAGTCAATCAAACACTCCATTATAATCATCAGTCTAATCTCAGCAACATTAACAACATGAAATTAACAAAGATGATCTTGAGAAGTAAATGTAGGCTCAAGAGAAGGTTTTAAAAGAAAAAGCATTAAAATCACAAGTAGCTAAAATTATATTTCTGGGTGTTGTCCCATAGTGTAAAAGATCTGGCATTGGCACTTTAATATACAAGAAATGCCTCCATATAGTGGAGAATTAATTTCCTAACTGCATCCTACTATACTATCTGAAGAACCCTGATTTTTTAAGCAGTAATTTTCGATCTATCCAGGGATTTTTGGTGAGGAATCATTTCAAAATACTAAATGAGTCAAGGCAATTGGGTGAGACTATAAGTGATAAAACAGTGTTCTATTATAATATCACTTCATTATAAATGGAATAAAAGTATTCAATGAATGGATTGTTTGCTGAATTTATCAAAGTACTATGCAAGAATCCTCTAGCTCTATGTCATCGTGAAGGCTAGAAAAAGTTGAAGAAAGAATTAAAAAGAGTTAAACATAAGTATGAGAATTAAGATTTTGAAGAAGATGATGTTGAAGAGTTTAAAACTGAGTAAGATAGACAGGAATCTGATTAATTGGCCTAGCGAAATAACAATTAAAATAATCAGATATAATTCAACAATTATCAATAGGTTGGATTAAATAGATATCCCTAAAGAGATGTATTCGAAATAAATGACAACCATCTGGAAATTATGGACATAGTAAAGTAATAAAGATAGCATAATTTAGATAATCAAATTTGAAGACAATATATAATATCTATACAGTCCAACACAAACTTATTTTTCACTACCTTTTTTTCTCCAATTATTTTTATCTATTCAAAGATGATGGGGTTTTGGGGTTTTGGGG